ATGGGGATATTTGGAGCTCAAAGAAAGGATGTACAAGCTGAGGAGTCTGGGGTTTGCTCACCTCCCTTATGGAGAACTAGTCCACCGAGAAGCCCCCAACATCGCCAAAATCATTACCGGAGTCTTTCTCCATCATCAAAAACTCAAGCTATTGCTAGAGGCCAAAAGGAGCTCATGGAGATGGTGAGTAGAATGCCTGAGGGGTGTTATGAGCTATCTTTAAGAGATATTGTGGAGCAGCCAATGGTGGTTACTGATGTTAAAGAGGAAAGTTTTAGCGAAGATAGAAGCATAATCAATCAAGAAGATATGCATATACTAAGAAGGGAACACGAGCAAAAGAAGAAGAAGAAGATTGAAAAAAAAGTGCAAATGAATAGAAGTGGAAGCTCAATTAATGAAGGGTTTCTTCTGAAGATGGTATTTCCAATTTCTTTTGGTTCAAGAAAGAAGAAAACAAAAAATAATAGTAATCCTCCGATCATCAATAGCAGTTTAAAAGATGGAAGGGTTTCTCCGAGGCCTTTGCTATATGATAATGGATCTGAAAAAAGCGCCGATGAAGAGTGGTGGAACAATAAATTCCCAGAATCTAGGGACATTGAGAGTGGTACTGCATTGAGTAGCAGTAATAGTGGAAGTTCAAAAAGCAGTGGCAGCAGCAGTAGAAGTAGCAGCAGAAGCAGCAGCAGGTATATAGCCATGGATGAAATTTTTGTTTAATTGCTTATTTTGTTAAAAACCTTATTGCAAAGTGATAAAGGTACACAATTTTCCTGATTTTACCCAAGGGAAGGGTGTCTAATCTAAAGATGGTGTTTTTCAGTAGTAAAAAGGCCAGGCTCAACTAAATTTGATCTGCTATTTCCTTTGTTAAATAAAATGAAGGTCATATTGCCAATTCTAGCTCACTTAAATCCTAGATCAAACGCTAGGAGTCTTTTTCTGGAGAACTAGGAAGATGCTAGGAGAACTTGAATGTAACTACTCTGACACGAAACAGGGGAATCATGGCAGGAACAGAACCTTATATAGAGCTGTCCCTTAATAAACAAAGTAATTAATCAATGGTTTTGAAATCAGTTCGTGCACTATAAAGTAAAATTTTGTATGGAATTCTTCTTGTGTCATCTAACAAAAAAGCAACAGCCCACCGGTCAAAAGTCTTTGCTGAGGAAACACAATAATGACAAATAGAAAAATGAACCACACAAGATTTCCATGTAACTTTCTGTTCTGTCCAAACTCTTCAACTCAGCAGCAAGGACTAGGAATTTAAGATTGTGAGTTTCTTTTTGCAGCTGTAGTTAAAGAGAAAGCAATTAATTTTGAGCCTATGATGTCCAAATGTTCTGTTTGTAACTTGGGGTTCTTGATTGCAATGCAGGCACGGAAAAGGTGGTTGCTGGTCTTTCATTTTTGCCAAGAAAGGCAAAGCAGCAAAATGAATATATGATCCGTCTCGTGTAAATTAGACTGGGTGTTGCACGTAATGTTTTTGCTATCCCTCTGCAAATAATGTTGAAATATCTGGCAGAATATAAAAGATTCTAATGGCAGCTAAGATTTCCAGCAATGTATATCCTTGCTTGCTGATGCTTGAAGTATCTGCTACGAATTTTATTTATTTATTTTAATTTCAGTTTCTGTTCTTTGATTTCTATACCGACTTGCATACCATGTTTTAGTGTGGGTAATGAAATCTATCTATTTTTCAATATTATGTGTTTTTTCCCCCTGTAGTTTAGGTGAATAAGAGTTTGAATATATATATATAATACTTTTATTTCGTCCTTTTCATGGTAGATTTTGAAACCAAAATTAATTATCTTAATTAATTGTCATAAAAGAAATAAAAAAACAAACATTTTTTTTCTTTAAAAACCTTAATTTAACATAATTTTTTTATGTGATGAGATAAGATGATAAAAAATAATTTTTTATGAGTTACAAAATTATTTTATAATAAATTTAGATTTAACATAAATTAAACACGATGGAGAATTCATTGTTCATCTCCTTACAAAACATTGTTCACTTGAACAATGCTTCTTCTTCTTTTTTATAGCTTAGTTTTGTTTTTTTTTCATTCCATTCTTTAATAAGTTTGTTTATTTTAATTTTTATTTTAATTTTATAATTCAGGTCATAAATTTAATGAGTTAACTTAGGTTTTTTTTTTTTAGTTGAATTTTTTTTCTATTTCTTCTTAAACATTTAATTGATTTAGAATTAGGTTTCAAAATTATTTTTGATTTGTTTTCTATAAAATTATCTTGATCTTAATATTTAGGTCATGGTTAACCTAAATTGACTCGAATTCTTTATATATATA